ATTATCAAAATATCAAAATTACTCCTATTTCACAGACTAAAAAATTCATGCTCAAAGTAGTAAATCAAGCAAGACTTCATTGCCCTTGAATTGCAGGAACCAAAGATGTTTGACTTCCAGATAATCTGTCTTCTGTGTAGTATTCATTTTGCAGATCGTTATATGAGAATCATTGTCGCAGGAAACTAAGGGCAGAAGGATGAAGGCAGTAGCTAAGGTGTTTGTGTATTTTATGTCCTGATATCAAGGAACAAATGACAAGTGAGTGACTTGCAAAATATTTACTAGGATGAGTTGTGCCTTTAATATACTTGATTCCCTTTCCATCTCCAATATCCCAACTACCAAAGCGAAATTGGGTGTAAAAATATTCAGATTATGAGCCTAAGAAGAAAAATTGAGGTGGTATCTAATCTTCCATTCTGGTTTGAAATGCTGAAAATTCAGTACAGAAAGGTGATCATCCCTGTTCGACTTTCAGATCTAGGAATGCGAAGTTTCTAGCCAATGAAAGCAGAAAAATGGAAATAGCCATCCATGCAGTGAGACAGAGCAGTTGACTCAGTAGCCTTGGGCAAGTTGGTTAAACCCTCTGACTATAGCTTTCTATCTACACAAATATATAGGCCATAACAATACACATATGAAGCTGGGTAAAATGGGTGTAATATCTGCAAACAAAGCTCTTTGTAAACTGTAAAGTTTGTAAATGTTAGTTGTTATTTTGTTCATTTTTGCATCCTTCTAAACAATAAATATTATATGCCAATGGATGGTTTAACTTATTGATGTTCCAAACTTCTGTGGACACATGTGGCACTAGCAATTGCAATTAAATAAGTTGTGACCTTGGGAAAATGGTTTAACCTTTCTGTGTCACTGTGCTCCTCATAGAACAAACAAACAACATCATCCTTACTGTCAGTTGAGATGAGCAAGGTTGCATATAGTTAGGACTATATAATTATACGTTTACTACCTAGGCTGTATGTGTGTGTGTGTGCACGCACACACACGCCTGTGCATCCACACATGCATGGCATGTCCTTCTTTTGCAAATGAAGCATAAGTTCCTTAAAGTCAAGAGTCATATTTCTTGTCTGTAACTTTTGCAGAATTGGAGAATGAAAAATAATGACTGACTATCAGAGCAGGAAGAGATTTTATTATTTGGCCTAACCCTCTTTGTTTTATAGATAATGATATAGGAAGCTGGTGATTATAATAGATGATTTGCCTAAGATCATGCCGCAGAAATTGGGTTTAAACAAGACTTCTGATTTCGTCTCCTTGTTCTTTCCATTATACTTTACAGTAGGTGTTTGGCATACAATTTTCAAATGAATAAAGGATAATTAAAAGAAATTTAGATTAGCATTTCTCATAGAAAAAAGCAAGTTCAGTGGTCAAAAACATTTTAATAAATTCTGTGCTTCAAGAGGTTTATTTATTTATGCTAACATAATTTGAGAATCGCCAGGAGGTAGTAGTTTAGGTTTTTCAAAGTTCTTTGAATACAGAATCCTTTGGAAGACAACATCTGTTAGAACATAGTAAATATTCAATAAATATGTAAATGAACAAAAATTAGAGAGGGAAATGCCTTAAGACTAACATCTAAAAACTGATTCCCTGTCTTACTGGACCTTGTTTAACCTATGCAACTTTGGACAAGATTCTGCAGCCTCTGAAGCATGATTCTTCTATCTTCTATCCTAAAATGGAGCCTGCCCAACCTACCTCAACAGGCAGCCATCAAATCAAATTTCTCTGAACCCAGGAACCTGGTATAGGGAGTGACGCTCATTTTAATCACCAGCTGCTCTCTCTTACTTTCCAGAAACAGCACCGTCCTTTCATTCTGGGAACTACATTGTTCCCTCACTTCATTCATAAGATTCCCAGTGGAGCTCCTATTTTTTGATATAAACCTGACCCCTTGGCCACGGTTAACTGATTTAGAAATGCACACCACACCCAAACTTGAGCAAGAATGCTCTTCACTGAGCTTTTAGCTTTGGAGCTGACCGTCAGTCAAGCAATCACTCCCCGTAGCTAAAGCTGTAAGATCTCTCATCTTTCTCCAGCTTTTTCTTTACTCTCTCCCTTCTAGCAAAAACTCTCAAATATTCCAAATTTTCTTCCCACTTTCTGGCATTTCTACTTATTCCTTCTTCCAAGAATCTCCTTCTCTCCATTAATTACAAAGTCCACACCTTTTCCACCCCAATAGCATCTTCTCAAAGGCTTTCTCTAACCATTTAAGTAAAGGAACGGCTCTCATCCTTCTGTATTACATGACTGTTTATCTCCTTCAGAGCTTTTCTTAGGAGCTCAAATTTGTATTTGTTTGTGTGTTTATTGTTCAGCTTCCGTACAAGAACATAGGCTCCTTAGGGACAATAATTTTGTCTTTTGCACCGCTGCTTCCCAGCCCTTAGAATAATGTCTAACACATATTTATTGATTCAAAATTGGTGGAAAGTCTCTATACTCATAATGATCTTTCAAGGTAGGCAGCATCACCCTCATTTGATAGTGGAAGAAACAGAGAGTCCAAGGATTAGTCATGTTTCCAAGACCACACAGCTTTGGGAAAAAGAGTGGTATAGTCATATCCCATATTTTCAAGATAGTTTCTCTATTATATATCTGATGACAGCTCATTGATTTTACATTAACAAGACCATTTTATGTCTGGTTTTATTTGCAGATAGCGAGGAAGTGGGAGATGGTTAGGTGGAAGTGTGAAGGATCTGAGCAGCCGTCAACTATCAGTCAATGCATTTAAAGCCATTAGGCCATGCAAAGAATCTCTACCATACAAACCATAACGTTCTTTTCTCCTACTTGCATCCAGACTTCGTTTTGGGGCAGTTCCTGCTTAGAAGACTGGGGCCAGAATATTCTGGGAGACCCTAGGTATCTCTACTGTTGCAGCCTCTAACCTTCGAAGACTGATACTTCTTTCTCATCAGCAGGGCTGGATGAGCATTCAAAGTAAAGAGGAGAGCAACTGCCTCTTTCTGTCCTCTTCTTTTCTGTTGGGCACCAATGGGTTTTGTTGTACCAGTGAAATATATTTTTAAAATGTCTAGGAAAGAAAGCCATTAGTTGACAGAGCAAGAATGACCCCTATGCATGCTTCTCCCTGTAGGGATTTGGAAAACAATTCTGTTTGTTTGATTTTCCACAAGGTCAGACCCAGCTGAAGTTGGCAGAGGTTACTATTCCCACTTTAACTCAGCTGCCAAGTCAGAAAAAAAGAGCTGAGTTCTGGCCCATTTTTTTATGTTGGATAAACCTCAATTGAGACAGGTAGAAGAATAAATCCAAAGTCACACAGAGGGAGATACTGTCAATCACCTGAAATGTTTTACTTGATATCTGGCACATTGCATCATTAGCTCACTTAATATTTACAGCAATCCTACAAAGTCGACATTGATACCAAAAGGAAGTTGAAATCAAGGTAAGTCAAATGACTTGTCGCAGATCACACAGCTAGAAAATAACATCAAATTTGGATGTACAAATCCTGGGCTGTTTCTGTGCCCCCACCCGGGTTCACTGGCTACTGCTTTGAATTAGGGATCTCACCTGTGATCTTCTCGCTTCCACATAATATCACAGGAGAATGCTACCATTCCACACACCTCTGTGAATGTCACCGCCCCAAATCAGGTCATAAAAAGACTCCTATGCTTCCATGGCAACCGCCACCTCTTTTCCCATTCTCCATTTTTATTATTTATCTTGAAGCCGTTTTGTAGACATGTTTGATTCCAGATTACAGACAGGGAAGCACAGACAGCAAAAACAAGTCAGCAGCAGCTCTCAGGTCCAGAATGCTCAGCTGTCCTCCTAAAGCCCAGAAGCTGCAGCCAGTACTGTTTCTGGCTTAGGGAGAATGACCAGCAAGTGACTGCTTCCCCATCAATCTTTTCCTCCTGGGCAAATAATTATCCTGGGAGGCTTTCTACCTGTGTGCCTTGTGATCCCTGGTGAGTAATTTAATCTCTTTAGGCCTGTTTTTTTTTTTTTTTCCTACAAAATGGTGATCATAATAATTGTAGTACTTATTTCACAGGGCTATTGAACAGACTAAGTACTGCAGTGCATATACAGTATCTAGGACCATGCCTGGTATTTAGTAAATGCTCAATAAATTGTAGTTCTTTGCTTTTTTAAAATGATTGTGTTCATGATTATGAAAAAATCTAACCCCATGCACACTGACAGACTAACTTTTTGAGACTTTTTTTTTTAACCTGTAAAGCTGATTTTAGCATCTGTTTTAATTGTCCTGGAAAAAACATTTGGGATTTATTTCTCTGATTACCTGCATTCCTCTGGAGTTCACTGTGTCTGTTACATGTCTAGAAAGAGCATGGAATCATGTGGCTCTCCTATTTCCATTACCCATAAGACATAATCTCTCCCAGGAAGAGTTGCTGGGATTCAGCCAGATGCACCACTTCCTAATACACAGACCAGGAGGTCTCCCTGCACTAATAAGCCCTTAGGACATCCCTGTACACAAGCACATGCACCCTGGGAGATCTTTGTGGGAAAGAACCCAGTGTATCCATTTCTGAATTTCAGTGTCTGGCACGATCCTAAAATAAAGATAGCATTCAGCATGTGTTTGCTGAGAGAATTTCTATGCAAAGCCCTCCCTTGTGAGCTCCTTGATAACAAAAACAACAACACATCAATTGAGTGATTACTATGGTGAGACCCTTTACATGGGTTATCTTAGGAAATTCACGAAGCAATCCTGTGAACATAGACTATCATTATTCCTATTTTATGGATTAGAGAATAAAGATCAGAGTGATTTCACAGTAACAGAGCCAAGATTGAGCATAAGCTATTGGACTTCAGAGACGATTATTTCAGGGGTCATCTCTTCTCAGCTTCATCCAATGCCACAGCTTCCACTATTCTGATTGCAACAAATGGAAATTCTGCAACTTCATTAGTGGGGAGCTCACTGCTTCATGAGACAGTACAGCTGTAGTATTAGAGAGTGCTAATTGCCAGAAAGCTTTTCCTCGTATTGAGTTCGATCATGTATTGGAGCTTCTCCTCCCCCCACTTCCCCACCCCCAGTTCTGGATCTGCCCTCTGGAGTAACATAGAAACAAGGCCTTATGCTTTTCCCATATGTTAGCCCACGTGCTTTAAATAAATCAGTACCCTGCTGATTCTTACTCTGGAAGATGGATGTAAAGTACAGAAAGGAAAGGTATGTTTTAAAAAAAGTAGTCAGTTATTTTCTTTAAAAATTTATATGAACACTTTATAGAGCACTTAATTTTTTTTCTAAATGTTTTTCCCCACACCTGGGTGTCTACTTCCACAGTTCCAAACAAAGAAAATCCCTCATTGCTGTTAAAATAGCCATTATTTGACTTACAAGCGACAGTATCTACTGATGTTTGCTACCTAGTAAATCTTGCATCTGTATTCCATGAAGGTAAACAACAGACTGGGGATGATTTAGTGAACTGTAACTACTTAGCTTTGATTTCCTTACCACTAACATTTACCATGCCAGACTGGATGCAAACCAGTGTCTTTGTCTTAAGAGTGGGCTCTGACAAACTGAGAAAAGAAAGCCCCTGGGTAAACTAGAAGAATTATTAGTTAAAGTGCATCCCGGAGATTGATTCCAGCTTTCCCTTTAGCTTTAGGACCAAATTATAAAACTGTTGAGTTAGAACAAAGCAGGAATAAATCATGGATATGAGACAGGAAATATAGCATCAGGCATTGGAGACTTTGGCCTCAGTGTCTGTGGTGTATACTGTTGGTACCCCATTTGCATCCCCTTGGTCCACGCCAGAGATCATCTGAAAGGTTAGGGGACAATTCCTGTACATAACCATCAGTTTTCTACCTCCAGCGTCTCTTTGTCTCTCCCTAAAGGTGTTCTCTGTTTACATGAATGATATCAGTCCACATGTAGAGCTGACTGGAAAATCCAAAGGATGAATGACCCAGGAGCAAACTTAAACCATAAGGGATGGAAGCGAATGGTCAAATACTCCAGCTTCTTTGATCCTCAGTTGGACAATTATGATGTGTGTTCTACACAGTCTCTAAAAAAGTCCCCAGAGAAATTGAGTGTCAATGGCTCCCTCAATAACACATCTATTATTTCTTCCCTTTCTTGGTCCACTTGCTCATTCCTTCACATTATTTCCTGGGATTGCCTCTTAGATAAAATATTTGCATTCACATCTTTGTCCTAGTGACTGCTTGTAAAGAAACCACACCTAAAAGTCTTCTTGTTAATATTTAAATGGTGATAGTAACTTTATAGTTTTGGGGAGGGAATTAATAATATTTGCAAAGCTTTGGCACAGAACCTGGACCGTGAGTTCTTTTTTAAAAAATAATTTTCATTTTTATTTTTGATTACATATACAAGTTTGTTAACATGGTTTATTATGTGATGCTGAGTTTTGGGATACAAATGATTCCATTGCCCAGATAGTAAGCATAGCACTCAACAGTTAATGTTTCAACTCTTGCCCCACTTCCTCCCTCCCCACTCTATTGGTCTTCAGTGTCTATTTTTGACATCTTCATTTCTATTAGTACCCAATGTTTGGCTCCCACTAATAAGAGAAAACACGCAATATTTGTTTTTCTGTTTCTGTTGTAGTTTGCTTAGGATAATGACTTCCAACTGCATCCATGTTTCTGCAAAGACATGATTTCATCCTTTTTTATAGCTGCATAGTAGTCCATGGTGTATAGGTACCACATTTTGTTTATCCATTCCATCACTGATGGGCACTTAGATTGATTTCATGTCTTTACTATTGTAAACAGTGCTGTGATAAATATATCAGTGCATGTTCTTTTTGGTAGAACAATGTATTTTCCTTCAAATATATACCCAGAAATGAAATTGCTGGGTCGAATGGTACTTCTGTTTTGTTCTTTGAGAAATCTCCAAGCTCCTTTCCACAGTGGCTGAACAAATTTAGTTTCCCACCAACAATGTATAAGCATTCCCTTTTCTCTGCAGTCTCGTCAGCAACTGTTAATTTTGGACAGTTTAATAGTAGACATTCTGACTGGTATGAGATGATATCTCACAGTGGTTTTGATTTGCACTTCTCTAATGATTAGTGATACTGACCAGTTTTTCATATGTTTGTTGGCCTCTTATATGTTTTCTTTTGAGAAGTGTCTGTTCATGTCTTTTGTCCACTTTTTAATGCAGTTGTTTGTTTTTTGCTTCTTGTATCATTTAAGTTCCTTATAGACTCTAGATATTAGAACACTGTTGGATGCAGAGTTTGCAAATATTTTCTCCCTTCTGTAGGTTGGACCATAATTTCTAACTGAAAATTGTAAAAAGTATTGTCTCCTCCTGTCTATCCTCATCACGTCTTCCTCCTTGTTCCCATTTTCTTCTTCCTCCTGCTGCCTCTTTCTTTCCTTACTTTTGTAGGGTGAGTGATAATTTGATCTGAGGAGGGTAGTTTAGTAGTTATCACACAGAAAGTTTAAAAACACTCAAGACAGCCTGGGCGCAGTGGCTCATGCCTGTAATCCCAGCACTTTGGGGGGCCAAGTCAGGCAGATGCCTTGAGGTCAGGAGTTTGAGACTAGCCTGCCCTACATGGTGAAGCCCCATCTCTACTGAAAATACAAAAATTCCCTTGGTCTGGTGGCACACACCTGTAATTACAGGTACTTGGGAGGCTGAGACAGGAGAATCACTTGATCATGGGAGGTGGCAGCTGCAGTGAGCTGAGATCACATCGCTGCACTACAGCCTGGGCAATAGAGCGAGACTCTGTCTCAATAAATAAATAAATACAGTCAAGACAATAGAAACTATGGTAAACAAAAATAAATTAGAATTTGGTAACAAATTTTTATAACTTTGATTAAAACGAAGGGCTGCCCTAGCTGGGGCTCGGTTTTATTGGGTACTGATTCTATTGCACATGAACAGATTAAACTGAGCAAACTTTGCAAGTGATAAATAGATATAACAATGCTGTGTAAACTCTGTATGTTACACAAAACAGAGGTAGATATTTAAGAGTATCCAAAATGAACCATTATTATATTTTCAGATTTGGGAGTCTCAAGAGTTACCAAATTGTGATTCACCACCTGTTTTTGTAAATAAAGTTTGTTGGAAAACAATCGTATTTATTTGTTTATATATTGCATATGGCAGCTTTGCACTAAGGCTGAGTCGAGTGGTTGTGACAGAGACCATATAGCCCACAAAGCCTGAAATGTTTGTTATCTTGTTTGTTTCAGAGAAAGTTGACTGACTCCTGGTCTAGGACATTGCTTTGATTTTTAAAAAATACATAAGTTATAGAGAAAGCATAAATAGACACATTATTTATACATATGTATACATGTATGTTTTTATAATTCCACACCACGAATAGTATGTACTATCCCATAATTTCCCAGTTGCATTTTTCTTAATTTGCTTTTTTGGTCAAAGCACACCTTAATGATCAAAACAGCAGGTCACCCGCAAACAAAAACAAAACCAGCTTTCCCCTTTTCAATTATAAAAGAGGTAAGAAAATTCAGGTTGGATATGACAAGATTTGACAAGGCAATATGTTGACCTATGGGTAGCCATCAGTCCTCCGCCTTCATCTTAATGGGCAAATAAAATCTATTTCAAGAGTAGCCCAGCCCTTAGCAGCTCTATATATAACAAACATGATCTTTTTAAAAACAACCCAAATTATACATAATGTATGCTCATATTCTTAAACGGATCTGTTAGAGATACTAAAAAAAGACTGCATATATTTCAATTTTCCCAAAATGTCTCTTTCTCCACCGCTGACTATTTTATCTCTCTTATAGAACTCCAGAAATTCTGAAGATCTTCCTAAAAAATAGCAACAAAAACAACAACAAAACAGGTCTGCACGTTATTCCACTGCCTAAAAACCTTCAACGTTTATCTTCGATACAAGATTAATTTCAAATACTTTGATTCATCATGTCTACTTAACTTTTCAATCTTGTGCACTGAAAACAACAACCCCACACTGTGCAACTTTGCATACGCAATGCCATGCTCTTACTGCCATTCTGTGATCCATGCACTCTTGCATCCGGACGCTTTTGTTCACATTGTTCTCTCTGCCTAGAACAACTGCCCTTTTTCCATATTAACCTTTTTAAATATTCTCCTTTCTAACTTCCGTCCAGATAATACCTATCATAAGGGGCCTTCCTGGGATACCCCAAAGGGCCTTCTATTAGGCAGAATTAATCTCCATTCTTCTCCATCTCAGCTAATATAATTCTTTCATCTACCCAGTTGCTTAAAGCCTCCAAATCTGAAATAATTCTTATACTTCTTCTCCTTCATGCCTCATCTTCAATCCATCTCCCAGCTTTGTCCATCCACTCACCCTCAATATATATGTTAAATCCCTCCTGCCTACTTTAAGCCACCGTCATCTGACTACTGGACAACAGCCCTTTCTTCTGATCCCAGTCTTGTTTTTCTCCCACCCATTTTCCATTTTCATAGACTAGTCCTTTTAAATGCACAAATCAGATCAAGTCACTCCTATACTTGAATTTTCTGTGGCCTCCTTTAATATTTGAAATGGAATTCAAATATCCTAATGAAGCCTGCACAGTAAAGTATGATCTGGCTCTTGAGATCTCACTCCAGCCATTTTCCAATTTTCTGTACTGCAGTGGGAAATGCAAGCCAACATCAGAAACTTTGGGATTCTTTTTCCCTCATCTGGAATACTATTTTTGTCTCTCTTTACTTGCTTATCCTATGTTTTCATTCGTAACAAACAAAAAAGGTAAATTTGAGATGCTTTCCATAACCCCTTATGCCAGCTCAGGGTCTTCCCCATTGTCTTGCTTCATGGTACATGGTTTTCTTCATTCATAGAGTTACTGCAGCTTGTCATTTTATATTTACTAATGCGTATCTCTATAATATTTGTCTTTCCTGCTAGTCTGTAAGCTGTAAATTTATGAATGATGTTGCCTTATTCAATACTTTATACCAAGTACTTCTGGTGTTTAGTATACAATAGGCCCTTATAAATATTTCCTCAAAAAAAATGAAGAAATTAATAACTGAATGGATGAACAAATTGTATCATGTACTGAACATATGACACATTGTTGAATTCAGTTTATTTTGCATATAACAGCTTATTGAGTATCAGAATTTTTTTGCATGTATGCCCATTTCCCTTTCTGAATCTAAGGGCTTATGGGTGGATAGCATCACTTTTTTAGCATGGTAGCTCTCACAGGTTCTAGAAGCTGAGTCCTCAATAAATATAAGTTGGTAGAAATCAGATGTCTTATCCATTTGAATGTAATGTAACTTCTTTGAGGAAATAAGCATAATATATACTTTTTAAATTTTTTTTCTGGAGATGGAGTCTTGCTCTGTTGCCTGGCTGGAGTGCAGTGGTGAGATCTCAGCTTGGCTCACCGTAACCTCCACCTCCTGGGTTCATGTGATTCTCTTGCCTCAGCCTCCCAAGCAGCTGGGACTACAGGCGCCCACCACCATGCCCAGCTAATTTTTGAATTTTTATTAGAGAAGGGATTTCACCATGTTGGCCAGGACAGTTTCAACCTCTTTACCTCGTGATCCTCCTGCCCTGGCCTCCCAAAGTGCTGAGATTACAGGCGTGAGCCACCGCACTCAGCCAATGTGTTCAGCTTTTAAACTGCATTGCCTGGTACATAGCAGGTGCTGACTAATTGCTTGACGAGTGGATGCATGCATGTCCATAGCTTTATCAGGTTGTCAACAAGGTAGTATTCTGTTGCATATAGATGCTACTTTTTTTAAGCTACTCATCTTTTGATGAACAATTAGGTTGCTTCCATATCTTCGCTATTGTGCACAATATTTCAATAAATGTGGAAGTACAAATATCTCTTCAACATGCTGATTTCCTTTGCTTTGGATAAACACCTGGTAGTGGGATTGCTGGATCATATGGTAGTTCTATTTTCAATTTCTTGAGAAGTCTCCATTGTGTTTTGCATAGTGGCTATAATAATTTACATTGTCACCAATAGTGTACAAGGGTTCCCTTTTTCCCACATCCTCACCAACTTGGGGATCTTTTATCTTTTTAATAATAGGCATAACAACAGGAGTGAGGTGATATGTTATTGTGGTTTTGATTTACATTTCCCTGATGAGAAATACCTCAAAACATCATGTTGTACCTGATAAATACATACCATTTTATATGTCAATTTTAAGAATAAAAAACAAATTTGGGGGGGAAAAAGTCAGCCTTCCACCGACGACCTCAGGAATGCAGAAGTAAAAATAGACTTTAGGCCTTTTTCCTATTGACATTCCCTTTTTAGTATTACGAGGTCATTTTCTTCCAGGTTATTTCAGGTCATTAAATATGTAGATTGTCCTGGACGAAACACTGTGCTACTCCTGGAGGTAAAAAAGCTGAGTAGGGCCTGAACAACTCTGATTTGTTCTATCTGGCTGCTGATTTAAGGAACTCGGGGAGTAGAAGAGCAGAGAAAGTGCATTAGCGAGGTACATGGATGTATAAGGATGATACGAGTTTAGTAGAAATTGATTATTGCCCTACCCAGATTGCCTCTGCAGGGTCCATGCATCAAAGGTCTAGCTGTTCTGAGTGCTGGCTGCTGTTCTGAGTTCACAGCTGCCTCCACTCCCTTCTTGGGAGAACAGTGCTTGGCTTCTCAGACCCAGCCAACTCCACTGGGGGGCAGCCCACAGCCAAATGGATACAAATAAACAAAAAGCAGACATCTTACTTCAGAGGGGAAAACCCTGTGCTGTGGCTTTTGCTCCACAGTCTTGTCCCTATGGATCAAGCCAAGGCTAGGCTGTGCCTCGGATCATGTCTGTGGTTGGCTCTTAATCCTTTCTTAACTGACTTCACTTCCTCCATTACAAGGTTATACTGAAGAACGTTCCCTCTATAAATCACATGGACTCAAACCTGTCTCAGTCTCTGCTTCCCAAAAATACCACCTAAGCCATCATGTGATGGGCACTGTGCAAAAGTAAGTGCATGGTGCTATGAGACAGAAAAGAGATATCGGACACTGTTTAAAGGTAGAGAGTCATCCAAATTAGAATCTTCTTTCTAGGTACATTTTAATTTTATAGAAAAGTATCAGGATAATACAATATAATAAAACATTCACATATTCCCTAACTATATTTAACTTATGTCAACATTTTTCACAGATGCTTCAAAGCTTATACAGAATTAAAGATTATAAATATGGTAGGAAATATTTTTGCAGCTCTTTTTAATTCTATACTTTTCTTTTTTAATCTTTGGAACCAATTCCTACCCTGGTAATGGCGTTAGTGCTTCACAATCATGTTTCTGTATTTGTACATATCCATGAATATGGCATGCTTTCATGTGTTAGCAGACTTATATAAGTTAAACCGCATATAAACTTTGTCAACTTTCATTTTACTCTGATTGTTATGTTTTTGTGACCCATCCACATCAATACACCCATTTAGACTTTCATTTCCATTGCCAGGTTGCATTCTATTACTGTGCCTTATTTCGGCTTCTTTTTGCCTTCTTATCTGCCTCCTACTAGGTTGATAAAGTTATTTTTATTTCTTCATTTTTTATTGTGAGTTATACATTACATTTGGATTAATTTAGAGAATACACTTCAATTTTAACATGCATGCTATATTTAATAAGGTTTAAAATTAATCTGCATTTCTATTTTCTATGTGAATCCCATGAGGTGCACAGGATCGTCTAAGTATGAAATCCCTTTCTGTATCTTCAATGTAATTGGAAAGTATTTTATTTCTACTATTTTTAACCTCTCCATTAGTGTATGTACATATGGGTATATACACACACATTTATGCATACATTTGAAGTTTATACTTATTTAGCATTACCTGTACTTAATTTAATAATATTTACGGCTGGGCGCGGTGGCTCAAGCCTGTAATCCCAGCACTTTGGGAGGCCGAGGCGGGTGGATCACGAGGTCAAGAGATCGAGACCAGGCTGGTCAACATGGTGAAACCCCGCCTCTGCTAAAAATACAAAACATTAGCTGGGCATGGTGGCGCGTGCCTGTAATCCCAGCTACTGAGGAGGTTGAGGCAGGAGAATTGCCTGAACCCAGGAGGCAGAGGTTGCGGTGAGCTGACATCGCGCCATTGCACTCCAGCCTGGGTAACAAGAGTGAAACTCCGCCTCAAAAAAAAAAATAATAATAATAATAATATTTACTTAATATTATCTCTATTTACATTCAGTTTCCTTTTCACTTCAGTTCATCCTTTTTAGTCCTTTTGATGAGGCCAGTGAGTTAACAAGTCTGCTTCCTGTCTGCAGATGTTTTCATGTAAATTTTACTTTCAAATAATGGTTTAGTGTGGGTATAAAATGTTAGGTTGACAATCATCAGGCTAACAGTCATCCCTTTGTTGGTGATCTCGCTTTCTTTTCTTGTACCTTTTAAGAATTTGTCTTTGATATTCTATCTTATTGATATAAGATATCTTGGGTATGAACTTGTGTTTATTTGTTTTGCCAAAAATATATAAGTTGTTTTGATCCATTTTTTAAAACTGGAAAAAAAAGTCTATTTCTCTATGAACATCACTCTCCCCTGGAATAACATTCTCTCTAATAGGTGCATGCTGGGTATCTTTATGTTATTCTCTAGGTATAATTTTATCTTTCATCTTTTTATATAATTGAAGTTAATTCTAGGTGATTTTTTCAGAGCTGTATTCCAGTTCATGAATTATCTTCTCACCTATTTGGCTGTATTGTCCATCCATGGTGATTAATGTCTACAACTCCATTAATTTCTAGTTTCTGTTTATTTTTTAAAATACTTCTAATCTTTCTGCATACTATGTTGTTCTCAACTAATATATTTTACCTCCATCTATCTCTTTTACCATTTTAAACATACTTACAATATCTTTTGGATTTTACAGTTATCCAATTCATAAAGCATTGGTTCTTCAACTTGCTTCATATGCTGATTCTCCATTGTGGTTCGTTCTTTGTGTGATGCTTAATTTTAACGAGACAGTCACTTCAGCAAAGGTTTATAGTTGTGTTTTGTGTTCTATATTATAGAAGAATTCCTACAGATTTCGCAAACCTAATATTTTTATTATTAATGTTTCATCTTGGAGACTTAACATCCCAAAGGTTACGTAAGCTTGAAATTCACGAGTATATTTGGCTTAGGCCAAGGATTCCCGTCACTCACAGGGTTCAACTTATGGTTCTGGAAGGTGGGACTGGTGGTAGAGTCCCCAGTGAATAGCTTGGCTATTCTTTGTGGCATCCTTCTTTGTTCAGGGTTCCAGTTTCCCCAGGTAAAAATGACTGAGATTCATCCATAATCTTTTCCCGCTTCTGTGACAGGTTTTGAATCAGCCTCACTTCTCTGCTCCAACTTAAGGTTCACCTTCAATGCTGGAATTTCTGCTGGCTCTTTCCTTTTGTTTTCTTTTGCTGTTTTTGAGTCAAGTCTTGCTCTGTCACCCTGGTGCAATCATAGCTCACTGCAGCCTCAAACTCCTGGGCTCAAGCAATCCTCCCATTTCAGCTTTCTAAGTAGCTGAGACTACAGGTGCACACCACCATGTCCAGCTAATGAAGATCTTCCTTTCTGTGCTTCCAGATGAGCTGTGTATTGTTCACTTTTATGATATTTTATCTACCATGATCCTGTGTGTGGAATGGGAGGTACGTCCTTTCATATATGCTCAGGTCTCGTTTTCTGAATCTGAGCTGAGCCTTAAAACATGAGTGAGTTAGTCATGAAAAAGAGAAGGAAAGGGTACATCATGTAGGGAAAATAGCATAAGGAGAGAAGCAGGAAACACTATTGTAGGCCTCTTGGTAACTTAGTATAGGTGAAGCTTGATGCTCCTGGCTGCCCTTATCCATGCCACTCTCCAGAGCCAGCAGAGTGAATTTCCAGGAGAAAAGACTACATAAAGAGCAGACATGAGACCCAGAACAACCTGGATCAGAGCCAGAGGCATTAGTATCAGCCATAAACCAGAGACTATGGAGGTGGGGGTGGGATAGGTAATCAGCGTGGAAAAAAGACAGAGTCCTAACATGGAAAGAATAAGTGAGTCTGTTGTGAGCAACTCTCAAGACATGATGGGCTTGAGACAGACCAAACTGGACATTACTGACCAAAGCAGCACCTGTGACAGAGCAACCCACATGCCTGAGGTGTCTATGTGCAATGTGTGTGTTCATGTGACACATTCCAGAGGGCATTCAAGGTTGGGGAAAAAAAGTCTTTCTAGCAGAGCATAATGCTTCTCTGTTGTCTTTGTGGCTGGCCTTTCACGGTGGATGTGGGTGGTATAAAAACTTGGCTCCAGAATGTGTAAGAAATGTGGTGGCAGCGCAGAAGCAGTTTGAATCTAGAGTACCTAGAAGAGCCAGAGAAGGAAGGAGAGGGCTTGGAGCAATGTCCTCTCTTCACTGCTCAGCGAAGTGGGTCCTGGAAGGAAGGGATTCCGGGTCTTACCATACACCATACACCAAGTGAGATGGGACAAAGGGAGAGTTCACTTTGTTGGAAGAGTTTTTAAAAAGGGAGTTTCAAACTGGCTGTCCAGAGCCCCAGGCTTCTGCAGAAGAACCTCAGAGGTCACTCTTTGGAGTAAGAGGAAGGGAGAACTAAGCAGGCCGTGTTAAGCATCTTCCCCATCCTTTCCAACAGAGTTGCTTCTGCTTTTAACTGGAGAAACTACAAACAAAACACTCTTTGAGTAGGTTTTTTTTTTTAACCACTTTTAATTGAGATAAAATTAACATAATATAATTGACTTTTTAAACATTTTAAAATTTACTATTTAGTGATGCTTAGTATATTCATAAAGTTGTACAATAATCACCAGTATCTAACTGGAGAACGTTTTCATCACCCAAAAGACAAATCCCATATTAAAATGGTTATTCCCATTTCCTGACTTTCACGAGCTCCTGAAAACCACTAATCTTGCTACCTCTGCAGGTTTACCTATTCTGGACATTTTATATAAATTGAGTCATAATATACAACCTTTTATGACTGGCTTCTTTCCCTTACCACAGTGTTTCCAAAGATCATCCATGTTGTGGCATGCATCAGTACTTTATAGTTTTTCATATCTAAATATTATTTTATTGTAGGACTATGACACATTTTATTTATCCATTCATCAGTTGATGAACGTTTGGCTTCCACTTTTTTCTACATGTATGTACAAGATTTTGTTTGAATAAATGTTTTTCAGTTACCTTGGGTATTTAGGGTTTTAATTGAAAAAAGGTCCCAGAATCCTTCCCTTTGCCCATCACGCCCAAAGATGCTTCCTGCCACTGACACCAGGAAATGCTGTAATTACCACTACTTAAATGGGGATACAAAAAACTCAGGGGGTTTGTGGTAATGTCCCTCCACATCCCCCCACACAAAGCCAAAGGAGAAATATGGCACAACTTTTTGTACTAAACTGTTTAAAGACTGGAAACAGAAGAGGAAAATGATGTTTTTATATTAAATCTAGACAATATCCAACATTTTATTGATCCTCAGACATTTGTGTCTTAATATCTTTGAACTTAGAATACATTTTACAATCAATGCTGTGCCACAGTTTAACTTGCAGCCTTTTTTTTTTCTTTCTTAGTGATAAATAAAATAATGATGTGTCTTATGATGATAATGCATTTTAGATTTTGTGGCTTGTGGTATTATGGAGTACAGCCTACAATTCACATAAAATTTTAGGAGTAAAATGGGAGACTTTGGAGCTGTCCTGAGCTAGCTGTGGTTTCTGCAGGATTTCGTGGCCACTCTTGTCCCCTGGGGCTGTGGTGTGCAGAGGGACAGGCTACATTCAGCACACAGGCATGCCTCAAGGCCTCATGTGCCATTCCAGGATGCTCCTCCCATCACTACAGGCCCCCTGTAATGCTCATCTCCCCTCTGATAGTGTAATCCCATGTTGGATCATTATCCCCTTCCTTATAGCTCCTCAGTGTAGCTGAGACAGACTGACATTTTCAAGGAGAATTTTATGTTAAAAGCCAAGGGAAAGGTAAAAGGGGAAAAAAGGAAATATAAATGGTATAGAAATTGTCACATTTTCAATTATTGTGTTTCTAATATTTCCATTCTATGAGAGTAAAAAGGAATTTTAGTGAGACCTCAATTTCTGCAGAAGTTAACTGACGACCATTAGGAAGCCTTGACTCATGTCCCTACCCAGTCCTGGGTCAGCTGTGCCCACCACTTACCTTCTCCTGACCCACGAAATGAAAGTCTTGGTTTTGCGATTTTTTTGGATTCCTCTCTTGCTGACTTCCTACAGCTTGGCTCTTTCAAAAAAGTTCTGGCCCATCTAAAATGTCATGTCTTTTGTCCATAAAGTGGCTGGGACTCACTTGACTAGCTATGAGAGTAAAATCTCTTGCCAAATTTATAAAGAAAAAGATAAAACACAAGCTCAACGGTTTTTAGTTCAAGAAAATTAGCTCTTCATTTTCAAAGTATTGTATTAACTGAGAAGGGGTTGGATTGGAGGTGAATGGTGTGTTAGCAGAGCATGGCTGAAGGATAATCATCTTCACTACAACCATTCATATTACTTTTTTGTTTTTCTCCAGAACAGCTTCTTAAAAATTTTCAAAAGTAATGAACAAATTTTTACAAATCTAACAAAAGCAGCAGCAACAACAAAAAAGATTGAATCTGCACCAGCTGAATGCTTCCTAAATAGGGCAGGGGATTCATAGTGGCTAAAATCCCCCAGTAAATGCTTGTTTAAATCTTTGGGTTTAAATTTATAATAAGAGTTTGAGGGCTTTTCTTCGAGAACTGATTATTTTTGATATCTGAGAGTCATCCTCCCTTAATGCATTTTGCTTTGTGAGGGAAGCACATTTAGCAGGAGGGAGGGAGCATTGAATCGCTGCATTCATTCTGGATAGCAGCTAAAAGAAGGCTAAAGACAGGTTGAGGCATGTTTCAAAAAATTCTATTAAAATTTCGAGTGAAATCAAAACCATGTCTATGGGAAACTTTGAAGGAAATGAGATTATATAACCTAGAGAAAAGAATACTCAGGATGTGGGTGGTAGGGGGAGAAAGGAAGCCATCTGCAAATACATAAGACGTATTATGTGAAAGCAAGATTAGGCTCATTCTTTGACATGGAGGAGACAGCTATTGGTACAATATGAAGCAGATTGTCTACAACTTTCTAATAGTTAAATTGTTTCAAGATATTATGGTATACATTGGGAAGATCTCGGTTCTTCAAGAAAGGAGGTGTTCAAATAAAGCTGCTCACTATCAGTCACAGCTTCCTAATTGAATTTTAACGGTCAGTTAAGAGGTGGAACTTCATGACCTTTAACAGCTCTTTAAGCTTGACGTTTCAATGACTCCTAATCCATGTCAAGGAGACTGATTCTCAGCTGTCCCACAAGTCAGGGAAAACAAAGGTTCTGACAGCATTCATGGCCCTGTGATTCAAGTTGAAAAGCAACCCAATGTAGCAAGATCTTCAAGGACAACAACAGCACAATGCTCAGCCTGCCTCTCTCTGGAAATTTCTTAGTCACACAAATTAGGGATCACTGGTCACCCCTTTCCAGCAGATTTACCTCTGGCTCCTGACTCCTAGGCCTCTCTGCAGGTTGCAGCCAGTCTATTGACAACTGTGCACTGTTCCCAGCACAACATTTAGAGGGGAAATTGCGGTCCAAGGCACCAGTAGTGTTCAGACCAGCTGAGCTCTTTCATGGTGCTATAGTTCAGGCAAAAGTGTTCTCTTTCAAGACAGGCGGCCCTCTTGCCAGCAATTGCTTGGATGGAGTGTTCATTCAAACACCCTAGGCTTATTACCAGTTCAGAGCACAGAAATTGTGCAGGTAATTTCTACCCACCATCCAATCGGTTGCTTGCCCACCCTCATGCCAGCTCCTGTTCTGTCCCTCCCAAGATGGATGTGATATTATACACACCACTTTACAATCCCTAACACAGCAGGTGCATTCAGAGACTTCCAACACCATATTAATAAGAGTCCTAATGAAAACCCAAAATAACCTGTCACAGAAGTTATGTCACCTCCTAGGAAAAATAAAGTGGCAAGTCATCCCACGTGTTGTCTATTTTTCCATTGTCTCCACTTGATTCTTTCTGCCTGCCCCCAAGCCTCTCTTCCTTCTGTTAGTTCTTTGCAGAGTGCTTTCAGCAGACCTGCAATTGTTTGCTAAATCACCCATCACTGAACTGGGAAACAGAAGAGCTAGGTAGGAGTTCCAGCATCTCCTCAGGCTCTCTGTCTAGCAGCAACCTGTCCTTTTAAGAATCTACCCCAGGCCAAGCTTAAATGATGCTGTTGCAATGATGGCAGATGTGAGCTTTACCCAAAATGACCCTGCTCCTGTGGTGCTGGCTACCACAGATTCAGAAATGAAGGCCAAGCTCTCCGCCCTAACAAAGCTCATAGTCTACTATAGGAGTCAACAAACTTTTTCTAGAAAGAGACAGATAGCAAATAGTTTAGGCTTTACAGGCCACAGAGTCTCCCAGGCAACTGTTCAATTCCACTGTTATAGCTCAAGAGCAGTCATAAACAATATATAAACAGGTGACCGTGGCATGTTCCAATAAAACTTTATGACAAGGCAGTGAGCTAGATTTGACACTCAGGATAACATCTGCAAGACCCTGATCTAGTGGAAGAGACAAACATGTGCTCCAGTGGTTACAGTGTTCAACAGTGAGTGATAAAATAAGAAGGAAGCAGCAGAAGGTGGTTAGGGAAGGCTCCCTGGAAGAGGTGAGGTTTGAGCCACGAGTTGAGCGATGAAGACTACTTAATCACATGCCTGCCTAATCTTCCTCTTCCACCATCAACTTCCCTCATAGACTGATTATCTGCGATTAGAATCTGTTAGACTTTGAGGTTTCTGTAAGCTGTAACTACATCTTAGCTGTCTTTATAATCCCAAGCTCAAATTTAATGCTTTTACTTAATCACGGCTTGATGAATGTTTATTGAATTAAAGGACATATGACTTTTCACCTCTGTTTTGACCACAGAGGTATAACTCTCTCTATATTCCTGGAAGATGATATTCCTGCTTCACTCTGTGTTATGCGACAGCTGGGTAGAGACTTACAACAATACAAAAAGGCTCTTAGAGCCTGTTTGTTGTTATTTCATATTCTGGAGCCACACTGACTTTGGACTGCTGCTCAGCCATTTACTAGCTGTGTGATCTTGGATAAGTCCATTAATCTTTCCATGCCTCAGTTTCCCATTCTGTTAAAATAATGATAGTACTTACCTTATAGGATTGTTGCAAAGATTAAATGAGTTAAATGAATACAGTATGTAGAATGATTCCTGGCACAGAGCACCTGTTCATTAAATGCTGGCTATTACTAACATTACAAAGCTGGGCCTAGTCTCTTCATAATAATCTTGCACCTCTGTGGTAGGATGGGGACAGAGGAGCTGCTGACACTCATCTGGAAATTCTAACCAACTTCCTAGCTCCTGCCTTATTTGTTTGTTGTCTTCATCTCTCTGCCCTCGGCCGCTGCACAAGGAGAGAAGCTGATTGGCAGCTTAGCTGTTTAAAATCAATATGAGAAACACTTGGAGATTAAAGCAATTTAAGCAAGGTACTGGCTGGGGTTGGGAGCTAAAACTCCTCTTGAAGGAAACAAACGAAGGAGATGAAGAAAGTGGGTCAGAAATGAAACAGCGCGAAACTGTGTGAGTGGAGGTGAGATTACAACAATAGAGCAGCACGACTTTTTCATCAGAGAGAGATCGTTTCTTTTTATAAAAAAATAAAATAAAAAAGTAGAACCAAAAGCCCTAATCTCAAAATTGCTCCGGCCTGGTAGTGATTGTTCCACCAATTTAAACACACTTCTCTCCCCTCATCTCCTTGCTGCTGTGCCCCCCAACCCACATGTGCACTCACTCAGGTCCCCCCTTCTTTAGTCTCTGCAGGAACTTCCTTGCCAGGTACAAATGGAAAGATTACATCTCAGCTTTGTCACTGATGCCGCATGAGACCAGCAGCCACAGGAAATGAGCCACAGAGACCAGGCAAGGAGGCGCAAGGGTGTCGTGGACAGCATTTCCTACGACCGTGGCTGCCCCTCTCAGACATTTGGTTCCATTAAGCCAGTCTGGTCTCCCATACAGAGAGGCCACCAAGCTCCCTGTTGAGGGGAGGTGAACCTGTGTTAAATCCACTACAGATTCAGAGAGTTCTGCAGTAAACAAGGAAGCTCCCTTTCCTACTTGTCTCTGACATACCCTGACAGTTCCATTTCTTGTTTATTAATATTTCTCTTTATTTTTCTTGTTCTACTCGGTCTGTGCTCTAAGAGTTACATTTTATCAACTTGACAGTTTGTAAGGCATCCCCATAACTACACTATTCCAACCTGGCCCCAAATATTTCCTTCCCTATTTTCATCCCCAAATGGGTTAACCTCATCCCCTAACAAGGACTTTTTATGTGTATAGTTTACAAGAATATTCCCTTTTTGGACTCCTATGTACATTACCTAAGTTTCACATACAATATTGCTGATTTTCTTGTGCTCAGAGAGCCAGGAAGAAGCATACACCTGTGGAATTGGTTCATTCAGAGATCTTGGAAGGTCTGAGATCCACATCAAAGACTAGTCATAAAAGAAAGCATGTAATCACATGTGGAGCATTTTAAGCAGGATATGGTCAGTACTGTGGGATTTATTCACATACACTTTTGGGTCTTGTCTTTAAATCACAATATGCACCACACACACACACACCTTAAAAAAGAAGAAAAAGAGTTTTTCACAAAGTATCAGCTAATATGTAACAGAATTAGAGAAGGAATAATAAAAACAGAAAATTTCCATTTTATCATCATCAAACAATTCATTCAGCAAAGAGTCAATAACAGAAGTTAGAAGCATTGGGTCAAGTTTCTTGAAAAGCAGAATATAAAGGGTTTCAAACTATCATCCCACAAGTCCCTTCTTAATTACAGAAGAGAGAGCTTTTATAGTAGAGACACCTGGTGGCCACCACCTTTACCAAGTGAGCATATTTAGCAATGCCAATAATGGTATAAACTGACACTATATACCTCATGATCTAATTCAATGTCAATTGCACAATACCTTGCCAAAAATGCTTAACTTGAATCTTATCATGAAGCAACAGAAAAATCCAAAATTTGAGCACATTGTGGAGGACAACTAGTCCAGATTATCAAAAACTACGAACAACACAAAAAACAGTAGATAGATAACATATATTCATGAATACATGCATGAGTAAAATAAGGGGTGATTGTATTTTAAAAGAGAATGAAATAATATACATTTAATCATATCCCGGATTTTAAAAAGAGCTATGAAAGACATTTGAAGAACACTTGGGGGAATTTGAATATGGGCTACATGTGAGGCAGCTATTACATGTGTTAAAATTTTGGGATATGATGGTAGTGTAGTTACATAGGACAAGGTTTCTGCCTTTTAGAGATATATTCTAAAGTATTTAGGGTAGAAAGATTATAAATGTCTGAAAATTGTGTTTAAGTGGTTCAAAAAAATCCCATGTTTGTGTATGCATATAAATGTGCAGATAAAACGTGAAAAAATGTTAGCAATTGTGAATTTAGATGAGGGCTATAAATATATTCACTATAGTCTCCTTTCAGATTCTTAGGGTTGGAAGTTTTTCAAATAAAAATTTGGAGAGATGGAAGAAACCCCTACGTCTTTTAAAATGTACAAATTTCTTAAAATGTGGTACATGTACACTGTGGAATACTACACGGCCATAAAAAAGAATGAAAACATGTCTTTTGCAGCAACATGGATGCAGCTAGAAGCTACTATCCTAAGCAAACCAACATAGAAACAGAAAACCAAATACTGCGTGTTCTCACTTATAAATGGGAGCTAAACACTGGATAGGCATGAACATAAAGATGGCAACAATAGACAGTGGGGACAATAGATGGAAGAGGGAGGAAGGAGCAAGGGTTGAAAAGCTACCTATTGGGTACAATGTGCACTACCTAGGTGACAGATTCATTTGCACTCCAAACCTCAGCATCAAGCAATATCTCTTTGGAACAAACCTGCACATCTAACCCTGAAACTAACATAAAATGTGAAAAAATAAAAGATTACAGACTTTGGAATCAGACCAACCCACTTTCAAATTCTGTATGCCCCACTTAATAAACCTGTTTCTTTAGATTTAAAAAGGGTGAATAAATAAATGAATAATATTGGTATTACTCTGTGTGTATGTGTGTGTGTTTGTATTTTTTTTTTTTTTTGAGATAGGGTCTCACTTTATAGCCCAGGCTGGAGTGCATGCTGCAAACTTGGCTCACTGCAGCCTCAAACTTGTGAGCTTAAGCAGTCCTCCTACATCAACCTCCCAAGTAGCTGGGAATACAGGCGCAGGTGGCCACACCCAGCTAATTTTTATAATGTTTTTTAAATAGAGATGATCTCCAACTCCTGGCCTCAAGCAATCCTCCTGCCTCAGCCTCCCCAAAGTGCTGGGATTTCATGGGTGAGCCGTCACACCCAGCCCTAAAATTTATTTCTTAGAGGGTATCCTGAGCTATGGGACAGAAATCCTTAGTTTCCCTATCCTCTCCTCTGCCCTAACCATTACCAAAGGTTTTGACTTTGCTCCCTGTTTTTCTCCCCACTCCACGGGTAGATTTTCTTATAAGGAGAATTTTTTTGAGCATGTGATGCCGAACCAGAGGAAGGAAAAGAAGATGAGAAAGTATGTGGGCTGAGTTTGGAGAAGAGAATGCCAAGGAACTGAGGGAGAGGATGCTATGACTTGGGACGGGAAGGGTCTGATACAAATCATGCAGGAGACCAAATATCTGCTGAAAGGCAGCACTTTGTCACGACCATCACCTACCTTCTACCTGTTATAGAAACCTTACTCTTGTTCACCTCCACTGTCACCTTCTACTGCTTTGATAATCCACCACCAGCTGCCCTCAGTGAGAAGATGTCATTCACCCAGGGCCAAGGACCTGAGCAGGGGGCTCTGGACACAACCGCCTTCTGATTGACCACCTTCAGCTGCCATCTCAGATCAGGTCTAACTGTGCAAAGACCTGTCTCTGATTCTGTCTTCCAGCACCCCTGACCATACCCTCTCAGGCCTCAGTGGCAGAAGGCTTCTGTCCTTCTTCCTGCACTGCCTGCATCCTAGGCGGGGGAACAAAGACCGGTATAGCCTCCTCCACCACTGCCAAGCAGAGTGATTGCCTCAGGGATTTTTGCTTTCTGCTAATTTGCCTTTCGAAAATCCCCTCTTAATGTTCTGTTTTATAGAACAAGCAGGGTCTCCCAACTATCCTGCTTCTGTTGTTGTTGCTATTGTTTTGCCCTCTAATTAAATCTGATGACAAGGCAGGCACGTTTGAGCTGGAGGCAAACCAAGGCCACATGAAATTAGGGTAAGGTGTTCTACTTCTCGAAAGCAAGACTGTCAGCGCAAAGCCCAAAGTGGAGCAAAGAGAAAATCAATAGTTCTCAGCCAAACTCATTTTCTTTCCTTTCTTTTTTTCTTTTCTTATTTTTTTAATTATAATTTAAGTTCTGGGATACATGTACAGAAGGTGCAGGTTCGTTACATAGGTATGCACGTGCCATGGTGTTTGCTGCACCCATCAACCTGTCATCTATATTAGATATTTCTCCTAATGCTATTCCTCCCCTAGCCCCCAACCCCCGACAGGCCTAGGTGTGTGATGTTCCCCACCCTGTGTTCAAGTGTCCCCATTGTTCAACTCTCTGAATGAGAACATGCAGTATTTGGTTTTCTGTTCCTGTGTTAGTTTGCCAAGAATGATGGCTTCATCCATGTCCCTGCAAAGGACATGAACTCATCCTTTTGATGGCTGCATAGTATTTTGTGCAAGGCTTTTACACTGTTGGTGGGATTGTAAACTAGTTCAACTATTGTGGAAGACAGTATGGTGCTTCCTCAAGGATCTAGAACCAGAAATACCATTTTACCCACCAATCTCACTACTAGATGTATACCAAAGGGTTATAAATCATTCTTCTATCCAGACACATGCACACGCATGTTTATTGCAGCACTGTTCACAATAGCAAAGACTTGGAATCAACCCAAACGCCCATCAATGATAGACTGAATAACAAAAATGTGGCAAACTCATTTTCAAATGTGAATGGTGGTGTGATTAGCGAGGGAGGCACATGGTGGAAAGGTTTGCTCTTGAGCTGTTTTTGCCATCTTCCTGGCTGTTGTTTTATCATCTTGGCCTACCAGTCTAATTCACAATTTTAATGTCAGCCTTAATGCTAGATAATTATTCACTCAGAATAACAGCATTCACTCAAAATAACAGCATTTATTATTCACTCAGATAACATTTAAGGAGTCTCATATTGGCTCATCCTTTGGATAATTTTTGAGATCCTACTAATTACCTAGCAGTATGGTAAGCTTATACTCATGAGTGGCATGGGGGAATGAGTATTTAACAACTCACATCACAAATACATAGTTACCTGTACTGAGAAGTGTGCATTGCTAAGAATGATCTAATAGGAAGACTTACCTAGCCAGGATAGGGACAAAGAAAATATTGGTGAGGAAACAATGCTGAGCTGTTAAAAAACAGGTATTAAGAATGACTAGGAGCCTGGCAAAGTGTGACTGTACGTGTGTGCTGTATGTATGCTTAGCTGTGTGCAGGATGTGTGGAGGAGCGTGGTTGGGAAGAATAAAGTGTGTCCAATGCCAAGGGGAAAATGTAGGCACAGGCCCTGAAGACGGAGCCAAGGAAGGTCGTAGCTGCCTTAACTCTGGCAAAGTAGTTGAAAGTGCTGATTCACTCTATTAAAGGATAGTTTTAGACACTAGGAGATTGCAGTAGTATATGCTAAGTGATAGTAGCACTCTAGTATCTCGGAAGGTCAAAGAAATCTCAGTTTCCCCAGAAATATCTCCACGATGCAGTATCAGCCAGACTGGAAATTCCATTAGTATCCCATAAAATCTTTCTGCAGTATAATCTTTACATTCTTCTAGCCCTTTATTTTAAAGTGCAAAGAACAAGCTCCTCACACTGGTATTTTCTTTTCAGCAAAGATTTATTGAATGCTTACTATGAGCCAGGCAGAGTTCTAGTAATTGGGGTTATAGCAATGAACTCAACAAAAACATTCCCCTCCCTCAGGAGGCTCGTAGTTGATCATTCCCACTCTGTAAAGCCAGGACTGCCTGGAACTGCTTCTAAAATAGGGTGATCATTTCTCTTTAAAGTAATGGCTTTACCCTTTAATTCCACCAGTTGCTTTGATTAGGAATATAAAGTGGATTGGTTGGGGTGAGATGAAAAGGGAGCTTCACTGCTCTACATTTAAAACATTAGGATTTTCCCTGTCCAGTCTAACATCGATGGGCATTTGGGTTGGTTCCAGGTCTTTGCTATTGTAAACAGTGCTGCAATGAACATTCGTGTGCACGTGCCCTTATAGTAGAACGATTTATAATCCTTTGGATATATACCCAGTAATGGGATAGCAAGGGGAGAGATGCCAGATGTAGGTGATGGGGAGGAAGGCAGCAAATCACACTGCCACGTGTGTACCTATACAACAATCTTGCATGTTCTTCACATGTACCCCAAAACCTAAAATGCAGTAAAATAAATGGAAAAAAAAAGAAATGGTAAAAAAAAATTAGGATTTTGAGATTCCTGGGTAAACCCAAGAAAATAAATAAATGGAACTAGGTATCAGGTGAGGAGAAAGGAGAAAGAGAGCTGTGTGTACATGTATGTGCACAGACACACATTGTTGGGGATCAGGTCTTAGGAGAGAACGGAGAGGCTTTTGAGCCTGAGGGCAAGATAACCAATGAGAAAACGTAGATGATGGTATATTAGCCAAGGGGCTTTGACTACCTCAAATGTTCAATTTATGCAGAATTTATATTGTGGTTTGAGGACGATGGATAAATTCCATGTCTCTTCTTCAATGAAAAGAAAGCATAAGACAGAAATAAAAAGTGAGAAAGTGATGAACCCCCCCAAATTAAAACATTTTATTGTCACGTTTCATTTTAATTTGCCATGCTGTGATTTCAGCTCCTTCACCACCCCAAATCCCTTTGTGTTATATTACTTCAAGAAAAAAAAAAAATGTCTGGTCCAGATAATTTCACAAAAGGAAAAAAGAAAAATCTACAAGAAGTAAGATGAGAATGAGATATATAATTTACATGAAAACAATAAGAGGAAGACGTGAGAAGCAGAGCTACAAGAACCCGGTGAACACCAGGGGGTTGTTGATATTTCAGAGATTAGCAAAGATGTGCTGGGTTCTTTTTAAGGGCAGTGAGTGAATGTGGCTGAACTCTAAGAGATGCACATAAGGCAAAATAGTTTATTTAACAAAACGTTTTTATTTGTTACCCAAGAAAACACAGTCAATCACACACACACACACACACACACACACACACACACACACACACAAATACGGATGTGTGTGCTCTGGCTTTTCGGTTTGCCTCTGGGGTGCATTCTTTAATATTTTTTACCTCCTCAGCATGTCTGACAGTAGCCATATCCAGTTATTCAAGCCAGTTATTCAATTATTACTTTTCCATTTCTATGTGGGTCTCTATGAGTTAGGTTCCCTCTCTTTTCTAATGGAAATATTACAAAGTAGGTCATGTTTCCCCTCTTAACTAATAGGAAGATGACAAAGTAGTAAGCATGAACTATATCATGTCATGATGTAAGACAAAAAGACTGAAGAATTTCTCAATATTTATCCCCTACCTTTATTGTGACATATATAAATTATCCCTTGAGACTTAAATCGTTCACATTTTGTGGTCTGTGTTCCCCAGGGAAAAGTACATCAAGTCTGTTTTTGTCCTCAGATAAAGGAATGGTTGT